ATTTGTTACACTCCTTTGTTACGGTATTTGGTATACTCCTTTGTTACGGTATTTGTTACACTCCTTTGTTACGGTATTTGTTACACTCCTTTGTTACGGTATTTGTTACACTCCTTTGTTACGGTATTTGTTACACTCCTTTGTTACGGCATTTGTTACACTCCTTTGTTACGGTATTTGTTACACTCCTTTGTTACGGTATTTGTTACACTCCTTTGTTACGGTATTTGTTACACTCCTTTGTTACGGTATTTGTTACACTCCTTTGTTACGGCATTTGGTATACTCCTTTGTTTTATTTGGTATACTCCTTTGTTACGGTATTTGGTATACTCTTTTGTTCGGTATTTTGGTATACTTCTTTATTTAGGTATTTTCTATACTCCTTTGTTTAGGTATTGGTATACTCCTTTATTTAGGTATTTTCTATACTCCTTTGTTCGGTATTTTGTATACTCCTTTACTTAGGTTTTTGGTATACTCCTTTCTTCGGTATTTGGTATACTCCTTTGTTCGATATTTGGTATACCCCTTTGTTTGGTATTTGGTATACTCCTTTGTTCGGTATTTGGTGTACTCAATAATTAGGACCACCGCCACGATTCCATGGAGTCAATGATGGGGGAGAATCCATTTTTTATGGGTGCATGGTTTGGGACATTAGTGGGTATGATGCATAGGTAGATGAATGGATAGCTAGACAGATGAATGGATGGAATGGTAGTTGGTAGGGTGAATTGACTGATGGAAGGGCAAATGGGTGGTTGAATTGATGAAACAGAGGAAAGCTTTGTGGATTGGATGAATCTACGGTCAGAAGAAAGAAGGGCAAATAACAGGATGGATAGATTGCTGGTTGGGTAGACTGATTTCTGAAGGAATAGATGTATATTTTGGCTGATAGATAAATGGATGAAAAAATGAATTGATGGATGGCTGGACTGGATACAAGCACGTATTAAAAAAAAAAAAACTTTTTAGTCCCTTTAATGGATTGATGGAGGGGTGGAATGGATACAAGTACATATAACAAACTTTTTTGTCCCTTTAAAGGAGTGTTGGATGGTTGGACTGCATACAAGCACTTATAACAAGCCATTTAGTCACCGTTCACTAACATAACAATCTGGGTTCAATTGTTTGTCGTGATTGGACTTATGAATTGCATATACTTTTAAATATGCTCTCTGACATCCTAGAGAGCTATAATTTCGTTGGCATCTCTTGGAACATTCTGATGTGTTTCGTTCTGACTACCCGATATTTTTCCGACATGAAATTTTTCGGTCAATAATAATTTTTTCAAAGCACAGTAGGCAATAAATTGCTCTCGATTTCATATATCATTAAAAAAAAAATATCGATTAGGGTGTTTAAATTTTTATAAAATTTCAACTAATTAAATTTTTTTTTGTTACATTTCCGTTTCAATACCAAATTTCAAATAATGTTCAAATGGTATGGTTAAATATGTCGTGCTTGGTGGTGTTGTATGCGAGAAGTATTCAATAAAAAAATAGTTTTATGTTTTCATTGCATCTTTTAACTAAAGACTAAAGCATCTTTTTCTTCAGTTCTTCGTCTCATTCACTCTAATATAACAATGAAATCCACAAACACAAAAAATAAAAAAAATAATCTATTCAAATAGAGAGAAATTAAAGATACACTTACTGAGGCCCTCTAACATCCTGCACCGTTGCCTCGGCCAAACACCAACTAATGTCTGACAACTTTAGACACTGGGACTCCGTAGGAGGTGGACGCTATTTTATTTCCTCCATGTCAAATACAATATCCATACATTTGTTTAAATAAGTTTTTTTTTTTTAATTTTTTTCATTTTTGTTGATATTTCATGTTTCCCTAATCCCTATATTGACCGTGTCCTGGCGGGCCTAGAGCTTATCTTGTCAGCTACTGTCGCTATGTTTGCCCCCATCAACAAGCCCCACTCTCGCGTAAGGTCCGGCCGTAAAGATGCTTTTGTTTGGATGTGTGAGAATGTCGTCTGTGAGATATCCTAATCCCAGATGAGCCGGGATGTTATACTCGGGTGCACTGAACACAGTCCACACCCGATAAGTTGGATTTACAGAATCGGAAACATGCATTTTTAGTTGGAGAAAATTTTTAAAAAAAAATTATTAAAAAATTGCAGTCCATAAAGACTTGTCATAGTCAATTCTGATCATGGATGTAGAAGTTTGGATACATGTCATGGACACACAAGTTTGGAGTCACGTCATGGACACACAAAGTTTGGAGTCACTTCATGGACACACAAGTTTGGAGTCACGTCATGGACACATACGTTTGGAGTCATGTCATGGACACACATGTTTGGGAGTTTGGAGTCACGTCATGGATATACATGTTTGGAGTCACGTCATGGACACACATGTTTGGAGTCACGTCATGGATTTACATGTTTTGAGTCACGTCATGGATATACATGTTTGGAGTCACGTCATACATGTTTGGAGTCACGTCATAGATATACAGGTTATAACCACACATTTGTGGCGGGAATCGGCTCAAACGTTTCCACCCCGATTCAGCTCTCAAGTAAGAACCTTGTTTATAGACTTCTCCGTCTAAAACCAAACAGTCTTTTCACACTTTGGTGCGAAACGTCCCTTCCCTTTCTGGGCTTGCGCCAGAAGTGCAACATGTCAACTTTGATGTGCATCATCTCAGCGCCCGTGTTGAACGAACTGTAAGTACCGTGTTTAGAACTGCACCTTTTCTCCTGCATGTAACACATAATCTCGTATAGTCCCTAGTTTGTAGGTGTTGACATGTTTTCATCTGAGCTCCGGTACTTAAGTGATAGAACAACCATACCTGTATTCAGGTGGCAGATTCCTCACGTAGTTGAAATAAGACGAGTACAATATATAAAAAAATAAAAGGGTTGGTGAGTGTAAATATAAAAGTACTAAAGTATCTGAGGGGTTGAGGGTTGTTTGGGCATAAATAGAAAGGTTAGCAACATAAACCGATTGGGGGGAAATTGGTAGAAATACATATAACAAGTAGAAAGGGATTTTTTTGGCGGAAGTGATTGTTGGTACCGGGTAATAAGTTAAGTTCTACCTGTGGCCATTATTCTACCTTTGACCATTATTCCACCTTTAGCCATTATTCTACCCTTAACCATTATTCTACCTTTGACCATTATTCTACCTTTAACCATTATTTTACCTTTGGCCATTATTCTACCTTTGGCCATTATTCTACCTTTGGCCATTATTCTACCTTTGACCATTATTCCACATTTAGCCATTATTCTACCCTTAACCATTATTCTACCTTTAACCATTATTCTACCTTTGACCATTATTTTACCTTTGGCCATTATTCTACCTTTGGCCATTATTCTACCTTTGGCCATTATTCTACCTTTGGCCATTATTCTTCCGTTGACCCTTATTCTACCTTTGGCCATTATTCTACCAGATGTAAAGACAAGCATGCACCATATTTCTAACACCACGTGAGGGGACATGTACACCCCACCCCCAATAAAAAATGCCTAGGGTGTCAAAGACATGCTTACCACAACCAAATAAATCCTGTAGAACACCGCTCCAGTTGGTGTGTTGTTTGTTCCTCATGGCATCGTCCAGCTGGTACCGTGGCTGCAGATGCCCCGCGGTATAGCTGTGCGGTGGTTGCTGCTGCAGATGTCCGCCGAGGTAACTCCGCTGCTGCGACATCATCCTGTCCTCCTCTTCAACCACCTGGTCCTTCTTACGAAATCTGAACTTCTCCATTCAAACACACTGCTAATTGATGTCTTGGTGGAGCCGATTGCTCATGATGCAAAATAATATTCTCAGCTCGCTCTCACAGTTAACATATGAAGGCTTGACAAAATATTACTTTAGAGTACTTCCATACAGCTTTCATTTTTTTTAAAAAGTTATCATCTGTATTTGAGCCAGGAGACTACGGTACTACGGTTCCAAGGTTGAGGTGTACTTTGAAAGTACTTTAATATGTAAGTTTTTCACATTATCACTTTTGTAGCTGTGTCCTTTACATTAACATAAACATACATTTTAGTTGCAGGATTTGGTTATTGAGGGCCTTAATTTTTTTTTTTAAATACAAAAGTTCATCTTTACATGAAGTGCACAGAGAAAGAGAGGTGAGGGGGAGAGAGAGAGGGTGAGGAAGGGAGCGAGGGAGGGAGAGGGGAGTGAGGGAGAGGGAAGGAGAGAGAGGAGGGGAGAGGGAGAGAGAGGAGGAGGTGGGAGGAAGAGATGGGAGAGAGAGAGGGAAGGAAGAAAGAGAGATGAGGATGGAAAGAGAGAGGGGGAGGGAGAGAGGGGGAGGGAGAGAAGGGGAGGGAGAGAGAGGGGAGAGAGAGGGGGTGAGAGAGAGAGAGAGGGAGAGAGAGAGAGAGAGAGAGAGAGAGAGAGAGAGAGAGAGAGAGAGAGAGAGGATAAGCTATAATTAGCGTCAAATAGACTAGACATGATAAGCCATAAAAATCACAACGTCTTACGAACTTAATACATCATAAACCTTTATCATTGATCAAACATTTTTTTTAAAACGTTTAATTTGATTTAACGATTCTATGTATTGATTTCAGACACGCGGCAGACAGGCCTGAGAGTGAAAGAGAGATAAAACGTTATGTACGGCCAATCATAATGCACTTGATCCCAACACTAATGGCTGAAAGATAACATTTAAACAAACCCAGAACCCTCGAGCGCGTGTTTTATGGTGTAACTTCACAGCACAAGGGGTTTACATATGGTCTCTGCGACTCCTGGTGCGACCGACGTAGGCTGGCATAATTTATGATAATAATATCAACAGGGTCCTTATCAGTCGATGAAGCGAAGCCGTTCATCAGGCTGGACGGTCACATTTACCAGGCTACTAAAGGGTCACATTTATCAGGCTTAATGGTCACATTTACCAGGCTGAAGGGACACTTGTTCTATCACCAGAAAATTTCTGTCAAAAGTACATAAGCACCTAATGTCACGCTTCAGGGCAGGCCTGCACAACATACGGTCCGACGGCCGCATACGGCCCACTTGCACCCACTTTTCAGCCCAAGAAGTAAAGAACTATTCTTTATTATTATTATTTAATTATGAGCTTTCTCTTATGTCCTTTTTTTCTTTAGGCCCGCACAAGTTTTTCATAAAGTTTTACGGCCCAACTTACATTTTGCCCAGGCCTGGTTTGGGGGGGGGGGGGGGGTAAGTGATTCCAGAATATGCTGCAGCGGGGCTTTTATATTGCCCCCCCCCCCCAACCCTTTCCAGACTTTAATGTTGGTGAACCCAAGCTCTAAGGAAGGGGCGGGCTTTTATGTGACAGACCCCAGGCTTTTAGGAGTGGGACCCCAGGCTTTTAGGAGTGGGACATCGGGCTTTTAGGAGAGGGACCCCAGGCTTTTAGGAGTGGGACCCAAGGCTTTTAGGAGTGAAACCCCAGGCTTTTGGAATTGGGGCACCAGGCTTTTTTGAGTGGGACCCCCAGGCTTTTAGGGGTGGGGCCCCAGGCTTTTAGGAGTGGGACCCCTGGATTTCAGGAGTGGGACCCCAGGCTTTTAGGAGTGGAGCCCATGATTTAAGGGTGGAGGGGGGGAAAGGCTGTTAGGTGGGCGAACCCAAGCTTTTAGGAAGGGGGCAGGCGGCCCACAAAGTTAAATATTGCGTCCGGAAGATACCAAATATAGCTTCACCGATAGTTGTTTCCTAACAAGACTTTACATAGCAACTATACAATGCAGAACTTTTTTTAATGAAGTTAAAATATACTTGCGTGTTAGAAGTAGCTATAACACATATGAAACACGAAATAAATGTATGTTAAGTTACATGATAACTTTGCAAGGAGAGTAGCCACAACTTTTAAAACTCCAATGGTTTATTTGAACTAATTTATTATTTTTTTTTTTTTAAATTTACGGTAAATTTAAATCGCACAGTTACCTATTGTTAGATTTCCCAACACGTCTTTGAGTGTAATTTATATTTTACATTATGCTCCAAAATAAATTTCCCTCCAGCCCCTCTTAGTTACGCCACGCATTCGTCATTTTCCGTCCCATCTGTGACGATCGCACGTGTTGTAACCATCCTAAACACCACAAGCACAAGTCAGGTGAATCACAGATGTACAAAGAGTAATGGTGCTCCTTTAAACAACGACAAGACGCTGACTACATGGCACATCCGGGGACTCACGTCAAACTGTTTCGGTACGGTGTCGAAGAGAAAGAAAACCACAACACTATCTTCCGCCTAAAAACCACCTGATCTGGACTGTGTCTCCGTCCCATGTTACCATGGAACCGCGTCCATTGTTTCACTTCAGGCCGAACGGATTACCGCGAAGGTCAGTTGATGACCAGACACGAGACATTCAAGGAGAGGGAAGAGGCCAAAGTGTATAAAGGCAAGGCAGCTCACAGCACAAGGTCGTGAAACTTGGCAAGCAGTTCAGTTCACTGACCAATGGCTGACTACTTTACAAATGGTGTCACTGCTAGTATTCTAGGTTTACGCTTAATGTTTTGTTCAACTTACACTATTTTTTTTATATTTTTTTTTTATAGTTTTTTTTTTAAACACTAGAATAAAGAATGAAGAAGGAAAAAAAGATTAAGTTTTCAAATAGTTAATTTTAAACAGATTTACAAAGTGGCCAAGACACCTGAGGAATAATTGAGTTCTTACTTAGCCAAATAATATTCATACGAGAGTGACAGACGTGTTGGAGTTAAAGTATATACTATCTATAATAATACGTTTTTTCTAATCTTCCGGTTGGTGCGTGTGGTCGAATGCAGTAGTGGCTAGAGATGGGCGGATAAATCAGAGGTTCTAAAAGCAGGAGAATGGGGTACATTTGTCTGACGTGTCTTTTAATTACTTGGTTTTTGTTTAATTCTTATTCTTTTTTTTTCTTTGGTCTGTTACAAATTATTAAAAAATTATTTTGTATGATAAATATCATGATACTGGCAAAAAAAAAAAAAAAAAACTATTTGGGGCAACAATTGATTCAGAACTCTGCGTATCTGTGAGCAAAAATTATGGGGGACCTTGTCTCGGAAATTTGTGAAGCCACAATCATAAATTTGAAAACAATTGACCCAGACCTTTCTGATCTCACTGTCACAAATAGGGGGACCATCGCGTAAGAGTCTCTTGATGTCAATAGCACAGACGACGTAAATCAAACAGCAGACGTTAGCAGTTATTCTTAGCGCGCCTCACATTCTCAACTCTAACACAGGGGAACGGCGTGAAATAGGAAACTGTCAAATATCCAGACGTCAATACAGCAGACGACCAGAGCCACCGATGTTTTGTTTTGTTCATTCGGTGCTCTCCCTTTCATGGCTCATTCGGATCATTTCTGTATTGACTTTTCAGAATCGCTAGGAAAATCTCAATACCGGTACACATTTTGGCACAGAATAGACCGTAAGAGATGGTTGAGGTCAAAGGTAACACTATACTTTATATTAATTAATTAGAGAGAAGAAGCTGCGAAAGAGGGGAATCGGAGGCGATGTGTGAATGGGAGGCTGTGGGTGAGAGGGGATGAGTGAATGGTAGGCAATGAGTGAATGGGAGGAAATTAGTGAATGAGAGGCTGTGGGTGAGAGGGGATGAGTGAATGGGAGGCTGTGGGTGAGAGGGGATGAGTGAATGGGAGGCAATGAGTGAATGGGAGGCAATGAGTGAATGGGAGGCGATGGGTAAGAGGGGATGAGTGAATGGGAGGCAATGAGTGTATGGGAGGCGATGGGTGAGAGGAGATGAGTGAATGGGAGGCAATGAGTGAATGGGAGGCGATGGGTGAATGGGAGGCGATGGGTGAGAGGGGATGAGTGAATGGGAGGCAATGAGTGAATGGGAGGATGTGGGTGAGAGGTGATGAGTGAATGGGAGGCAATGGGTGAATGGGAGGCGATGGGTGAGAGGAGATGAGTGAATGGGAGGCAATGGGTGAATGGGAGGTTGTGGGTGAGAGGTGATGAGTGAATGGGAGGCAATGAGTGAATGGGAGGTGATAGGTGAATGGGAGGCTAAGGGTGAGAGATGATGAGTGAATGGAAGGCAATGAGTGAATGGGAGGCTGTGAGTGAGAGGTGATGAGTGAATGGGAGGCAATGGGTGAATGGGAGGCAATGGGTGAATGGGAGGCGATGGGTGAGAGGTGATTGGTGAATGGGAGTGGTTTGGGTGAATCAGAGGCGGTGGGTGAATGGGAGGCAATGGTGAGTGGGAGGCGATGGGTGAGTGGGAGTGGTTTGGATGAATCGGAGGCGATGGGTGAATGATGTCCAACCTTTTTTTTTTTCAATTTAACTGCAATTTCTTTTTAAACCTTTTTTGAAAACTATTCACATTAATAATACATCTTACCCTATGCATACAAAAACCTATTCCCAATAGAATTATCGGCTCAACAAGATTATGAATAAAGCGGATAAAAACTGTAGCACTTATTCAATGATATAGTTTGCTTTGAATTCTACTTGAAATGACCTTACATATGAATACCAGGTACTTGTCCCCAAAATCACAACAATTCAAGATTGGCCCGAACTCTCCCAGACCTGTTTAAATAACACGTTATGATAGGAATAAATGTTTCCTGATAGCCAACGTGGTGATTTGTGACATCTCCAGCATCCCAGCTCCCATCTCGATTGCCCAAAGACTTTTCTGCCATATTATATTTGTCATCCTACAAAGCGCGGTCGTCTATTCACGGTGCTCACCTATCTACTTCATCTAACTTGGCCCCGGTGGGGGAGGGCATGGGCGATTTTACGACGACCGAATAGCTACACCTTAGGTTACTTTTGGCTTCCCAGTTAGTCTTTCCCAGCTGCGTTAGTGATTCCACCCGGTAAGTCTCCGCGCCCCCCGAGTACCGGGTACAGGCAACCGAAAGAAGCGGAGGTTAATATCTGATTTCACGTCGTCCCCACCCCCATCCCCACCCCCCAATGTTACCGAATGGTAGCTCTACTGATGGACTGCTACCAATCAAGACATCCCGCTCCTTAGATATTGTGAAGGCGTCCTTTTTTTTTGTCCATGTTACAACTTCTCAATGAATGTCGTTTAAAAATATGTTCACCCTGAAAGGTTTTATTTTGTTTACACAGGTCATACTTTTTTTAAACAGCTCTGGCCGTGGGTAGGCCAGCACTGCTGTAAACGGTTGCATGTTATTTAATGGTGTGAGAACACGTGACACATCAGAATGATGTAGGGAGCACGTGATACTTCAGAATGATGTAGGGAGCACATAATAGTTCAGAATGATGTAGGGAGCACATGATATTTCAGAATGATGTAGGGAGCACATGATATTTCAGAATGGTGTAGGGAGCACATGATATTTCAGAATGGTGTAGGGAGCACATGATATTTCAGAATGGTGTAGGGAGCACATGCTATTTCAGAATGATACAGGGAACACACGATACTTGAGATTGATGTAGGGAGCTCATTATATTTCAGAATGATGTAGGGAACTCATGATATTTCCGAATGAAGTAGGGAGCACATGATATTTCGGAGCACACGTTATAAAGGAATGCCCTGTGTAAGACGCTTCCATTCATCCAGTGCAGGTCTATAAACACAGAGGGCGTAAGGCCATCCGCCGTTATAGGGCCCCGTGCCCCACGCTTGAATGCACCAGGTCCATAGCTTTAGCTCCGTACACCGTGCCGTGCGCATTGTGTGAACAAACTGGAGTTGAAGAAATGAACAGACTGCGAAGACGTCGTGGGACTTCCTTTCTACAAGAACTCTGGCAGAGAGGGACTTTCCAATAGCACACGGTTAAATAAGCCACTCCACTGTCGAACTATGTAATTGTTTGAGATCCCTTGGTAGTCCAACAATTTAAAGGATAAGAGCTTTTCAATTCAAAATTATTATTATTTATTTATTTTTTTAAAGTTTGCAGCTGTTTCAAAATGAATATCCATATTGTGATATGTGACGATTTTCACATTTCCCTATATCCACGCGTGCTCCATTCACTACATGAATGGTGTGTCCTGCTAGTAGATCTTTTGAATGTAAGGCTCTGGGAGGAACTCATTGCATATTATTTGTTAGTAAATATCTGTAATTAGGTTTAGAATATATTCAACAATCAACACGGAGTTGCAGTGTGTGTGCAGACCATAAAAAAATAAATTAATTGGAGCCCGATTGGCGTGAGAGTGTGTATTTGTGGGGTTTGGGGAGGGGGGGGGGTGTTCAAAGCTTTTGCTACCTGTTTTTGCTATTTACATCACGTGCTATACAACCGCATGTTTCCTGTTACAGTTTCCCCACACAGTAAGTTACAAAAGTGTGTCTCGGCCTCGTTAAGAGATGGCATGGCGGTTTCGTGGATTCAATAATACACGGCACACTGAATTCCACCTGGAAGGAAAAGCGTGTCCTTCTCCCTGTGGGGTAAGACCTTTAGAATCGGATCACATATAGAACTAACGGCTGGAGGGTACGCTTTCAAAATATCTTAAGGCATAGGGGCAGGCATTTTAAACTAATCTTGACAACTATATGACGACCAAACATTTGATGGTTTCGGCCTTGTAACATGTCCTAATACAGGATCTGTCCGACCGGCAGGGCCGTAGCGAGGGCTCTGCACCCCCCTTAGGCTGCAGGGGGCCTCGTATATTTAAGGGACCAAATGTTGTGAAGTGGGCAACAAATTAAACCAGCAATAATCAAGTAAAATGCAAGGGGACACAAAAATCTAAAAGTGACCGGGGGGGGGGGGCCGCACCAACAGCCACGCGATGGCGCTGGCCTACTCTACTTTGTCATACTT